TATTTTTTCTGACATAAATATGAAATAATCTAAAAATATAGGTCAAAACAGCAGTTTAACCTGGGATATTCTATATAGTTTAATTTTGTAGATGTCTGATGATTCTAACTTAATCTGAACATAAAACCTAGTGAAACTAGAGCTGTGGTTCTCAATTTGGGCAATTTTGTTATCTCCCACCCCCTCTCCCATGATCAGGACATTTGGAAATATCTGGAAACAATTTTGGTTGTAATAAGTGGGGGGAAGGCTGCTGCTGGAATCAAGAGGCCAGGAATGGTGCTTAACACCCTACAATGCACAGGACAGCCCCCCACGTAAAGAATTATCTAACAGAACAGGCAGACTGACTGAAATACACTGCTGAGGGGTGCAGCAGGTGAATCAGGAGAGGTCTGCTGCACCATGTGGGTAGCTCCCTGGCCTGCCGGGGATTGAATACATGCTGCAGAACCTACAGATAGTTTCACAGTGCTGTGCTTCACCCCTTGTGCCACCAGGGAGGCCCCCAAATATATAATTTTTTCCTGAATCATGTCAGAGGAAGTTACACTGTTTAGCCCTAAATATTTCAGGGTTTACTTCCCAGGATCAAGGACATTCCTTACCTAACCATATTCAGCACATTTAACATTGAATCTAGACTGTGCCCATCCCAGTAATGACTTTTAACAACTTTCCAGGATAAAGAACTACGTTCAGTTAGTAATGACTCTCGTCTCTTGCTTTGGAGCATTTCCTCAGCCTTTCTTTCACATTCATTACACACACAGTTTTTGAGAAGTATGGACAGATGTTTTAAGGAATATCCCTCAGTTTGGGTTTGTCTCATGGTTCCTTATGATTAAAGTTAGTGATATGTTTTGGCACAACTGCTAGCCTGTGGTGTGCTGGAGCCAAATAGTGCTAGCTGGTGTCAGATTTCTTCCCAACTCCATGTTCTGCAATGATATATTCATAGCTTGAAATCAGCCATGCACTTTAACTGGGGAAACACATGCAATGAATCAGGACTTACCTATCCACCTCATTTCCAATTGTAAAACATTTACATTCACCAAGACAGTACTGTATTTAGATGAAGCGGTGTTCTCAATGCCTGCTGTTAGGAGGAACAAGATGTTGGTCTTTCCAGTTATTGGTGACATCATCACTTGGTTATGATGATATCTCAAGTTTCTCCATTGAAAAATTACCATTTCCCCATTTGTAATTAATGTTCCCCTATGGAGAGATATTTTATGATTATATAAATATCCTGTTCTGTTTCTCATCAAACTTTCACCCAGTAGTTTTTATTTATTAAAAACTATTGCCTGAATCAGTTGGTAGCATGATTGTTGCAAGTAGAAATTTTCTTTCTTTTTTTTTCAATTATTTGTTGATGTTTGAGTTCATTTTTTTATTTAATCCAAAATAGTAATAAACTAAAAAACTTGTAAACAAATTGAGATCTTCCAGTTTTTCAAGTAGCTTTCAGTCCTAAGACGTTAATGTGCATTGCCATGGTGCAGAGTAAGTACCACATCAACACAGATCAAGCAGGAATTATCTTCAGAAGTAATTTTCCCATTCTGCTGTGGATGGTATGTTTGATGATAACATACTGTCTCACCAACAGTGGAGGGAACATTTGGAGTAATTTTTCAGTTTTACCTGCTACCATAGAAAGCTAATTGGTGCTTGGTAGGGTGAAAAGAGCACTAGACAGGGTGTCCAGAGGCACCGCTGTTATGGGATTGGGTGGTATACTCCATTTCCTGACCCCAGTGCCATCATCTGTAAAATATTAAGAGTCATATTTTCACTAAATTCTCTTTCAAGTTCTAAGGCTTTCTTTTATTCTGTTTACCTACTTAAAAATTAAAATTTAGAGTTCAATTAATTAAAGTGATATCTTGGTCAACTGTGCCAACAAGTCAAAGACAAAAATAACATGTCTAAAGCGGAGCCTGAACCCAGTGACCTGGCGATTGAATTCATAATCCAGCTAAATTAGCCATGAGAGTGTAGCACAAGGTCTTGATACTGTTTCATATTACCTTTGTGTATTCAGCCACATCATCTGACTCACTTCTCTGCTTCTCTTTGTTTATCCTTGACAGTCATGGAAACCCACTAAAGGATCCCGTTACCTCTCTGAGAAGATCCCTCTCTCAAGTGTTAGCTTGCCCAGTACCTATAAGATTACCTCTGTTGCCACGGTTATAAGTGAAAGAAATGGTCTGTCCTGGGGCAGACTGTAGTTTCTAAAGAGTCTTTACACTTCAGGAATGAAATTCTGGACTTCGCTGTAAGATGTAATTAAATCTCACCCTACAAAATTGCTGAGAACTGGGCAAATAGTATTATTCTTTTCTGTCTTAAAGATTTATTTATGCATACAAGAACTGGGGTACAGGCCAGAGAGGTGCAGGGGATGAGAGGATTCACCAGAAACAGAGTGGGGAACAGAATAGGCAGATTGACTGAAATACACTGCTGAGGGGAGCAGTGGGCGAGACAGGAGAGGTCTGCTGCACCATGTGGGTAGCTCCCTGTCCAGGGATTGAACTTGTGCAGCAGTGGCTGTGGATAGGTTGTGTCTTAACCCCTTGTGCCACCAGGCAGGCCCCAAATAGTATTATTCTTATATGATTCATTGTTTGGTGAACTCTATGCACAAGGCAAGTAATTTTGGCAGTCAGTATTAGAAGACAAAATATATCCTTGGATTTTCAGAGAAGTGGTTAATTGGAAGGTGAGGTAGGGAGTAAGATACATAAAAGAATGTGGGGCACTGCCAAGCCCTGCATTCTCTTCTCTCCCCAGAACAAGATTCTGATAAATCCACCCCTCCAGCCCACCGTCTCCTCCACAAGACTGGTGTTAGGGCCACTGGTGTAGGTAAAAAGATCTACAGGTGAATTGTGTATTAGTCTCCCCAATCTTCTGGTGCTGTCTGAGCCTGGTACGTTTCATGCTTCAATTCCTCATGTCAACATTTTTAATACTTAACGACCCTTCTAAGGTAGAGAATTATTTGGCTGCTTCCTTAAGAATATCTATTTGAGGTCTTTTTATCTACTGAATTTCCATATACTAAATTGAAAAGTTGTTGTCTAAAATAGTATTCAGATGACTCATCTACGGTTCTGATAGGCAAAGGGGGTCATGAGATGGCAGAGGAACTGGCAATTATGTTCAATATATTTTTTCATCTTTAGTTTTTTAATATCCTAAATAATCTACTTTTTTTCTTTTCTAAGATTTTAAGGCAAATTTGATTTTTACTTTGGTTTCAGGCCAAATTTCAAATTGAAAGATGTTTTCAAGTTCCCCCACTTAAACCCCCTACCCTGCAAAGTTTCTTTTTCTTTGAGAGTAAAGAATTTAAACTTTTTTAAAATTTAATCTTGATCATCATCCACCTCACTGTTGGATTAACTATTTCATCATCTTTGACTAGATTAGAAACCCCCTGTCTCTTACCTGAAAGACAGAGGGTAATTGATTCCTACAATCAACCTGGCTTCTCTTTGATTTTATAATCTGTTTCCAGAGATTATAGGCGAGCTTTGAATTCCAAGGCTCTGGGCTTGTCAGTTTTCGAAGCAAAAAACTTTGAAGCAAATTCCCTGCCTCAGGTTTCAAAGGGAAACTTAGATGTTAGAGGATGATATTAATTTGTTTTCATTTTTGTAACATAAGGGAATCAAAAATTATTTTCATTGCTGACATTGTAATTGCCTGAGTTTGTGTTTTATTTTATTTTATGGTTTTCAAAATAATTATTGTTATTAGTTTGTTTATTTGAGAACTCCAGTCAGATCACTTGGAAACCTGAGAGAAAAGCATAATTCTTTCAGAAATCCTTACTGAGTTCATTGCCTTATAAACATACCTAGTTCACATTTACTTTAAAGCTATTTAATTACTCACCACCAATGCACTTGGCATAACTAGAACACTCTCTAGTGTGCATTCAACAGGTAGAAAGGAGAAAAATAGAGTATAGGGCAAATTCCAGGCCCCTGAGTTTCAAGAACTAACCATAGTGCTGTTTCAAGAACTAACCATAAAAGATTTAGGCAAGGAGGTGCTTCTGTGGAATTGTGTTAGTGGGTGTTCGTTTTTATAAACTAGCATAGAACACACATTTTTTTAATAAAGATCCCTCTATATTGCTCATTGTAGTGCAGGAATGATATTTATATATATCATCATATTTAACAAATAAATGAAGGCACATATGAATAATACTGATAGAAGCAATACCCCTCCACACATCCCTCCCAGGCTACTAAAAAGGCACTCTTATTAAAGCAACGTCCACAAGTCCTACTTTTCTGTAGGACTACTTTTCATCCTGAAGGAAGAAGGAAAAGTCCTACTTTTCATCCTGAAGGATGAAAGAAATGAAATAATTAAAAAAATGATAAATTAGATTCATCAAACTTCAAAATAAAGCAACAGAATTTTACTCCTGAAAGCATTTGCTGTAAATGAGTTTCTAAACTTTACATTTTATCTATAACATAAAACTATTAATTCAACAATGTACCATTGATGCAGAAGTAAATTTATATTTTTAATAATAGTTGCATTATGTTTAGAGAGAAATAACCATGCTGAGACACAGAGAAAAAAATTATCTCAAGAAAATTCTGAACAAACTAATCTCTAAAAATCTGCAGAGCTTAGAAATGAATTTGTGGGGATAAAAATTATTCATCTAGAAGTTGTCTGAATTTCTAGCTTCAAAGTCATTTCTATTTCTTTCAGAATACTGCTCTCTAAACAAAAGTCCCCCCATTAATTAAGCACACACACAAGATAGGGCTTCCTTTTAACCTTCTGTGTGTCTCTCCACGCCCCCCTCCCTTTCTCCTGCAATGGTATGATCTGCATTTGTTCATAAACTGGAGGTGCCAAGCTGTGACAGCTTCCCCAACTCCAGAGCCGTTTACTACAACCTGGGGCCGCCTGTGTTCAGTGATGCTTTCCTTTTCCACCAACAGGGGCAAATTGAAGTAGACAGTGAAACCATCTTCAAGTTAGCAGCACTTGTTTTACAGGTAAGAACTGACAAACTACCTCTCACCCGCTTCTTTTTGTTGGTTTTGTGAACTGCCTGCAACTCTGAAACTTTTGCATGGGTCAGTGGCTGATGGATTTTTAAGCCAGCTGATTGCTTGCCAATGAAAAATGGGAACCACAGTTTTCTGTTTTAGAGTAGTCTGCATAAGCTGCTGTAATGAGGTGGTGTATGTCTCAAGGGAAAATGAAATTTAGAACTCCTCAAAGGGATGAGTTCAGACCATATTTCTGCAGAAAGGCTCTGTGTCCCTTGTTTGGGAGAGACAGAATTTGTTAGAACATTTATAATTTTCATTTACATTTGGTAAGTTCTATATACATTTTATTAAGGTTGAGTTGAAGAGTTCTTTGATTCTTAAAAGGGCTAGTAGCTGCAAAACAATGTGGTTTCCATGCTGGTTTAAAAGGGAAAACAAATAGCATGTGTTGATTTACTTGTGTAATAGATTAAAAGGTCTGTGTCCAGACTCAAAAAAGGGTGCTGCTCCAGTAGACAATTTATCACGTGATGTTAGAAACATAAAGGAGAAATAATTAGCTGTGCTTTTTCAGATGTATTTGTGTCTTCTGTTATAAATAAGAAATATTCCAAGGGTATTAGGTGTTCTTATCAATGCCACATTCTCCACAGTCACAGGAGAAGTTTTCCTTGTGCACATTTTTCAAAACAAAGCTCTGGCACTTTAAGAGAGGAAAATGATCAAGAGGAATATTTGTTTAGCTTTACTAACATAAATACATATTGATCATCCGTCTTTGTTTTTTATTTCAGGAAGCCAAGGGGGATTACACCAGGTAACAGTTCCTTTTCTGATATTACTATGCAAAATAACCCTAGCTGAGTCTTTTTATGCTGTTATTTTGAATAACAATGGATGCAAAATCAAAAGAAAATAGACCCCAATGCCAGGGACTGAGATCTCTCCCACTTCAAATAGAGACCTATTCTTTTTATGAATGAATCTGGGAAGGAAGCTCTCTTAGAATTTATCAAGCCAGAGTGACAGTGAATTGTAATCAGAAGCCCTCCCAAAGTTCTTTTTACTGTCATCTGTTCCAAAATGAAGAAATCTATAAAAAGCTTGGGTAGCCTGTGTTGAGTTTTTAAAACTTATAATAATCCTGTGTTTGAACAGTTATAACGTATGCACAAAAAGATTAAACCCATCAGCTGCTTAGTTAAGGGATTAACAGAGGCTTGCTTTTTGCAGCTGCCCCAAAGGGGCCTGACCCTCCTACTCTTGACCTAACTGTTATATTGCTGCCACTGAGACACTTACTAGTTCGAACTGCCTAAGTGACCACATTACCAGAGGAGTGTTTATATTTGAATTCACCCTCTACCTGCTCCATTCTGTCCTTTCAATGCAATACTTGTAGTTGGAGAAGTAAAAGCGGTTAAAGGTGGAGGCAAAGTCTTCAATTAGAAACAGCTCATAGGCCAATGGCCCATTGAAGGCTTTGCCTCTGCCGTGTTAATGTTCTACTCCCAGTAAACTTTACCCGTAAATTATTTACAGATCAGCTAGTGCTCATTCCCAGCCAACTCTTTAACAGTGTGCTCCTTAACGGACTGATAACCAAATAGCACCTTTCAAGCTTGAAAACTTGCAGTCAGTATTACTTCACTTCAGAAACTGCAAGCACTTTCCTCATCTGCCTGTTTGATTAGGTGGAAAAACAGAGGCGTCCAGTGAACACACCGTCATCCACTCACCACATTCTTCTATTAGCTCCTGTTTGTGTTGTGTTTTTTTTTTTTAATTTAGGTTAAGAAATGTGCTTTGAAGGAATCATGAAAATCAATAAACAGCAATTTTTTTTAATTAAAAGAAAATGTCATGGATAAAGGGAGAGATGAATTGGTTTCATTCACATCAGAGCTTCTATGCACAACACTATTGTCTCTCCTAGAGGAGCTGTAGTTCCTGGGAAGAGCAGATATTTGAAGAATGCCATTGTAGAGGGGAGTCTGAAGTTGATTTATAATTGAGGGCTCAGGGCCAAAAGCTCACTCCTGGCAGTGTGTGGACTCCTAACCCTCCCTCCTCCACTCTCTCTGTCTATCAAGCAGGCCAGGTACACCCTCTGAGCTCATTTCCTCATCAGGAAAATGGCACCTACCCCACAGGACTGTTGTGAGATTAAATGTTTGTAAACATTGCCTAGGGCAGTATATGGCATTTAGCAAGCTCTCTATCCACTTTGGCTATTATTGTTATTGTTGTTGTTATTATTATTAATTATTATGGTGTCATTATTGCTCCCATATTCATCATCATCTTGTGTCTTGGCAACTTCTGAGAACTGAAAAGACTTTAGGAACTGAGATGGGTCAGAAAAACTGTTAAGGAAAGAACAGAAAGGGCCTCCCTGGTGGCATAAGGGATTGGGACACAACCTGTGAGGCTGTCTGCAGCCACTGCAGCATAGGTTCAATCCCCGGCCAGGGAGCTATCCACATAGCATAGCAGACCTTTCCTGTCTCTCCTGCTGCTCCCCTTAGCAGTATATTTCAGTAGACCTGCCTGTTCTGCTCCCACTCTGTCTCTGGTGAATCCTTTCACCCCCCACACCTCTGGCCTGTACCCCAGTTCTTGTATACGTAAATAAATCTTTAAAAAAAAAAAAAGAAAGAAAGAAAGAATAGAAAGAGAAAGGTTGATACCATAAAGCTTCCTTCCTTAGGGAAAATCATGTGTCTGGGGCAGAAGAGAACTTAAGGAGCTTAGTCCTTTTAACCTTAAGACTTCAGAGTTAGTAAGTTTGGCCAAGACCAAACTACTCCTTTTCCTAACTTCTGCTTGTTCATCGTGGTTTCCTGAAGAAATGAAGAGCACTGTTCTGAAGTTCTCTAAATCATGCTGAGTAGTAGAATGAGCCTAGGTGTAGGAAACTAGCAACAGGACCTTGAGTGAGCCAAGGTCCTAGCCTCAGTTTACTCATCTGTAAATTGGGGTTAATGAAAATGACAACTTTGCAGGCTGATTTTAAGGAGATGAGTGATGTCGAATGATTTTGTGTAGTAGACATTGTATTATAAGCACTAGTTATTGTCAATGAAGGTGAACAAAAGAATAAGATCTGTGAAACTTTAATCACTGGGTCTTCAATGAAGTAAAATTTTGGTTCTAGCTGCTACTCCTACCCTATCTAATCTCCTCCACCCTTGAATCAAGAGGATAGTTTTTTCTCCAAAGTTTTGTTATAAAACTAATTTAAGAAAACTAGGCAAAATAAAATACCCTGGGAAAATGTTTATAGTGGGTAGAGAAAAGACACTAGTACCAGACAAATCCAGGTTTGCCTCTTGTTTCCTGTGTAATCTTAAATAAATTATTTAAATTCTCCAAGTCTCAGTTTCCTCCTCTGTAAAATGGGACTTATATTAATACTACATGTCCCATAGGATTGCTGTGAGGATTAAGTTAATTAATATTTACAAAACACTTCTAAGAGTTCCTGCAGTTATCATTTTAATAATATTCCATTAAATTGATGAACATAATTTACATGTCCTATTGTAACAAATATGTGTTGTTTCCAATTTTTTGCTAATATAATTAATGGTGTGATGAACTTCTCTTTGTAGTTAAGATTGATATTACCTGTGATTATTACATTTTTCAGTTCTCAATCTTCTCCATCCAACCAGATTATAAAAGTATACATGTGTGCACATTGCTTGAATGTTTATTACATTATTTTAAATGCCCATGTCTGATTTCATTCCACCATGCAGAGGATACTTTTTCTCTGTTTTAAGCATAGAATGTTAGGGCTGCCTAATACCTTGCATTTATTTATTTATTTATTTTGGGGTTGGGGTATTTTACATCTGTGTATATCATGCTGAAAATAAGTCTATCCATTAAGTAACTTTTCAATGCAGAGAAAATGAGTTCTCCTTCTAATTGGTGAGTATATAGGTAAATGGACAATTATCCTGACATCTTTTTTATTGTACTTAATCTACAGATATTTATTATTTTATTTTTTAATTTTTTTAAAGCAATAACATTATTCCCCACCACTATCCCTGTTCCTTTCCCTCTCCTTCCCTCCCTCCCCACTCCCCCTTAACCTCAGAGCCCTCAGGATGATTTGTTGATATCCAAGAGCTCTTGTGTTTTATGTTTCAAGTGTCTGTTAAATGAACATCCAATATTTGTTTATATCATCCTGACTTGCTTTACTGTAGATCATTCTTTCAAATTCCCTCCATTTTGTTGAATATGTTCAGCCATTCTTTATGGCTATATAAATGTTCACAGTTGTGTATGTACCACATCTTTTTGATTCAGTCATCCATTAACAGAGGTTTAGGCTGTCTCCATATCCTAGTTATTGTCAATAATGAGTGCTGAGAATATTGTAAAACATATGATTTATTGGGGGCCTCCCCGGTGGCGCAGTGGTTGAGCGCTGGGTTGCGAAGCAGCCCGCAGCCTCTGCAGCGCCGGTGGTTCGATCCCCGGCTGCTCCCCGGCCACTGGAGGAGGGTCCCACATGGCGCACAGACCTCTCCTGCCGCCCGCTGCTCCCCTCAGCAGTGTACTTCGGTCCTTCTGCCTGCTCTGCTCCCCGCTCTAGCTCTGGTGAATTCTCTCACCCTCCCACGCTTCTGACTGTACCCAGTGCATGTATAAACAAAACAAACAAACAAACAAATAAATAAAACATGCCTCTATAAAAAAAAAAAATTTAAAAAAAAACATATGATTTATTTTTGTTAATGGTCTCATATTCTGTGGATACATACCTAAGTGGAACTGCCAGGCTGTGCAGAACTTTCATTTTTAATTTTTAAAGGTAAATCCAGATTGCTATAATGTGGTTTCAACAGATCACATTCCCATCAACAGATCACATTCCCATCAACTCCTTTTTCTCCACATCTCCTACACTTATTGTTGGGGTTCTTTTTTTTTAAAGATTTTATTTATTTATGCATACAAGAGCTGGGGTACAGGCCAGAGATGTGGGGGGTGAGAGGATTCACCAGAGACAGAGTGGGGAAGAGAACACAGCAGATTGACTGAAATACACTGCTGAGGGGAGCAAGGGGTGAGACAGGAGAGGTCTGCTTCTGAATATCCTCTTTAGTAAATTGTCCTTTAGTGAATTTAGCCCTTTTGTTGATTGGATGTTTTTTGTTGCTGAATTGTATGGACCTTTTATATGTATTGGAAATTAATCCTTTATCAGTTATAGATTGTGTTTTATACATTATGTATATATATATATGTTTTCTCATTCAATAGCGTGTCTATTTAATCATCTTGTATTTTCTTTTGTTGTATAGAAGTTTTTTAATTTCAGGTAGTCCCAATTGTTCATTTTTTAATTATCTTGCCAAAAATATTGTTATTGTTGATATTGTAGAATGCTGTTTCCTTATTTATACTTTTTCTTGTTGCTCTGTCCATTGTTGTAAGTGAAATATAAAGTATCCTAGTATCACTGTGTTGTTATTGATGGAAACTTAGAGTAGAAAATTTAGGATAGAAGTTCTCACAAGGTCAACAACAGAGGTAGGGGCAGAAAGAATTACCAGTTGTTACAGAAAACCAACCCCATCCAATCCCCAAGTGATAAATTCTACAGAATAATTCCATCACAGAGCAACATTAAGGATACCCCTTGCTCTGAACCAGCAGCTCTTTGGCCGACTACATCTATACAATGTCTTTTTTTTTCCTTAATAAACCTTGCAATGTGCGGCTGAATGGGAGGGGGGGGTTCTCTGTTGAATTCATTCTCTAAGGAACCCAAGAACCCCACACACCGAGTCC